TGGGCCAACATAATGCCCTGAATAGGAACTAGAGGTGATCTGGAATCGTAGGCAATAGCGTCCCAAACCATCATGCCACATTGTCGTGCGGTGAGGTGTTCCACAGTTACTGCCGGATTAGATCTGTCTCCACGTCGATGACCCACGTGTATGCAGCGACTGTCACTGAATAAACAGAAGCATGACTCATCTGAGAACACGAGGTTTTGCCATTCTGTCATCCACATCGCTCCAAACCGGCACCATTCTAAACATTGCTGTCTATGCTGTGGGGTCCAATGGCAGTCTTCTTAACGGATGCCGTGAGTGCAGACCACTTTCAACCAATCGACGGAATATGGGTCTGGTCGACACAGGAACATCCATGGTATCTTGCACATGCTGCAGAATTACAGTACGAGTGACTTGCGGGACCACCACAGCTTGTCGGCGGATGCGTCAATCCACGCGTGCTGGCGTCACTCGGGCTGCGCCTGCACCCCTCCTCCTTTCCACACTACCTTGTTCCAACCATGTTCGCCATAGCCGATGCACCGTGCTCGCATCCATGTGGGTGTCAGCTGCGATTTGACGTAAGGACCAACCTGCCCTTCTAAGTCCGATCACCATACCCCTCGTAAAATCGTCTATCTGTTGGAAGTGCCTTCGTTGATGGCGGCCGGGATTCTTTCCTATTACACGTATCCTCCAGGACAAAACCAACTTTCTTCGATAATTTGTCTGGCAGAAATAACGACACGAATATTGCCCATTCTGCACGTTCCTTCTCTTATATCTTACTTCACGTGCGTCACATTTCACATCACAATGAGAGCTGCACATTTCACATCCTTCGCATAACTCAGTGACGTGTGTCTACTCTAAAATTTGCATAAATTTTTTACCACTCCTTCTTGGTGTTTGTTGCATTTTCAATGTCGAACAGTGTATACGAAGTTTTAAAAAATACAATAACAAGGACAGACTACATAGATCTTGAATAGGGTGTCTTTAAGTACCCAGTGGTTTCATATGTCACTTTGTAAATACATCTTCTTGTCACATTGTGGATGTATGATAAACAACAGTCATGAGACCATTTATCTAATGCTGTTTATGATGAAACGTTTTATAACTGGTAATAGTAAATCGATACCGTATGTTTTTGTCGACAAACAAAGTAACTTTGCTTTTTACATTTATCAACTTAGTTAAATCCCTTTGGTATTTGGTTTTATGACTGTATGATTGTACCAATGACAAAGCGGATAAAGACTGCTAAATACTACTATTTCATTCCGAATTTGAGCCTAGGTCAGTGGGATGGCTGTATGGTTAGCTTTTCCCGTGTGTAACATGAATATGAGTTGGTGTCCTTTAGGAAGTCCTCCATGAAGGCATCTCTTTTCTTAAATAGATAGCCATTGTATGCTTTTTCATATTCAGATAACCTAACCTTTATGTGAAGCTTTTTTTTTTTTTTTAATTCAGGGATCTACTTATTCCTTATTTTTCCTGGCAGCTGTGTTACCTGATTGCCACAAACTGTTCAAATTTTATTAAGTGTGTTCATAACCTAAAAAACTTAGGGGGAGGAAACGTTTACATGATGTTCAAGTGCAAAAATGACCCAGTGGCCTTTTAAGTACCCAGTGGATTTTGCCGTGTTACTATATTACATACATACGCCTTGCATAGTAGTTTGAAAATATAACTACTAATAACCTAATAACCAAATCTTCTGTAATGATAACCATTTCTATGGCTGTAATGATACAATGACGTAAACATAATAACAGTGATATAAACAGTCACTTACATGGGTGGCAATTTGACAAACTTAACCCCTTAACTGCCGTGGGCATATATATACGCCTTGCTCAGCCGATGCATTAACTGCCCCGTATGTACATATACGCTCTTCCAAAATACTATCATTTGCTTTGTGCTGCTACCCGTAAAATTATTCGCAAAGCTTTGGAATGCAACATCACAATGACCTAGACAAAGTATGCGAAGGAGGATACTATTTCAGAGAAGTTGTGGGAAGAGATTGGAGAGAGAGATGTGTCTAAGGCAGTGAAAGTAATGACTGCGTGGTATTGGCTGGTGTTGTTTGAATAAAACATATTTTTTTTTAATTCTGTGTCCTCCATTTTCATTTACTTTTTGTAGTAGGTTAGAGGAATAAAGAAAAAGAAAGATATAACGAATGTTTCAAACCCATTTATCTTTTTTTAATTATTTTTTTATGAACTGCTCGTGCTTCATATTGTTACTGAAACTAACTGTTTTGTAGACGAGTATATGAACTAACACCTTGCAAATGAAAAATCAAGAACAAAGTAATGGCATTCAACCAGTTCTGAAGAAATGTATGTTTTTTTTTAGGCATACTGATTTCACAAGGTATAACACTGAAACCTAATATTACACTTTACTGGTCTAAAAATGACTTGATCAAAACTTCATTTTGGGAATCTTTTTTTATTATAAAAACATCATTTTTATTATACTTACATCTTTTTATTATATTTTTACTCAAAACATTAAATTTTGCGCATTCATTTTTTTCTTTTATTCTTTATTTTGTGAAAATAAACAGTTTTTAGAAAGTAAAACTTGCACTTATTTTCCCCCCTAATAACTATGTGCGCCTGTGTGAAAAACCATGGCACTGGGAAATGAATCTTGTACATTTTCCACGGCAGTTAAGGGTTTAAAGAGAAAAGTCTATTGCAAAATAACTGTTTGACTGCTATGCAGCGCAAAAGCGCTGCGGTCTTTTGTCTCAAATGCGCTGCGAGTTTCAGTGTGTCCTTGTTGCTCCGTGGGTGTGAACGTATGTAGTCTGACCTCGCGTGTACTTTTTAACGTGAGTGCATTCTAAAATAACTAACTGCGTCGCGGTTTTTGAGACAAATGAACGCAGTGCTTTTGCGCTGCGTAGCAGTCAAATGATTAATAAAGAATTTTGTTTTCAACTCAGCACTTGAGAAAATGGCATCTGTATTGTTTCACTTGTGGCAATACAGATGCCATTTTCTCAAGTGGGCTCTCTGTATTGTTTCACTTGTGTTCCTCATAAATAATTAATTTTTTAACTAAAAATACTTTTGGCTGGATTTTATGCATATATTTTAAAGTTTATTTTCTTTCTTCTATGCTATTAGGACGAAAAGCCGTGTTTTAATTTATGTAAATAAAAATGGAGTAGCACTATTTTGCTATCTTTTTCCATTATTCATTTAAAAAGATATCCATCAGGAATGACTCATCGGCAGAACAGTGGTAGTTCAAGCCTGATTCATATCCTGGTGAATGAGTTGACTACATGAGAGATTTTGTGTTTTTCTCCATGTATAAGATGACTATGAACCAGTTTCCCTTGAGAAGACCTTCATAAAGGCACCTTTCCCGTAGTAGTTAGTCTTTTTGTGTTTTGCCATAATTTAAATAATCTATCCACTATAAATATTCAGATATTAATAGATGAATTTTCAGATTTTGTTTTTGCATTGTTAGAAAATGTACCACTTCACAACAATGTTGGTTTTGTATCATCATTGACAGTGAAAATGAAGCTTTTTAATACTGTCTCAAAATTAAGAACAGAAAGGATTGTATTTTCCTTGTCTGATTTAAAATCATTCTTTTCAGGTTGATTCCATATAATGTTTTCTGCATAATTTCCTCAGAAACTCTAACGTCATCTTTGTTGTTTTTGTTGTTACTAATTCCAGTTGCGGCAGGAAAGCCTACACCAAATCGAAGAGACCTGGCCGCACAAGTAAATCGCTGACATCATCCTGCTTAATCAACAGCTCTCTCAGAGAGATGCCTATACAATCCAGTAGGTGAGTGGGAGAGGCAGGGAGGGAACAGGCACACGAGGGAAGGTCCTTTACCTACCATAGAATTTCATTCATCGAAGATGCTTGCTTCTTAATCTGGCCGTGGTCGTTTGGAGAAATCTAGTTCTTTTACTGTGAAGTGACAGGCCTGGTTGCTCAATGATATACCAATGGTGAGCAGGAGAAATTTTCCACACCATGTTCATTTTATTTTTATAGTATTTCATTTGGGCTTAAATTAATGGAAGTGGGGGTAGGGAGATTACAATCTTTCCTTGCAAGATCGTAAGTTATTTCATTTCCTTACACCCCAATGTGGGACGGTATCCACTGCAGGTTACTGATTCACACTGTACAATCTCAAAAGGTTTAGATTTGATATTCTGACGGTCCTATCCGTGATCTTAGGCCAGTTTTTAAGGTACTGAGTGGAGCTTTTATTGTCTGTCAGAATCTATATAATTTCACTAATCGAACAGAGAGTATAATCAAGTGCTTTGCTGTTGGTGATAAGTTCCGATCTGAAGACGGAGCAATGTATTTCTGATATCTCCTTCAGGGGTGTTACTATTAATACCACTCCCTACTACCCTTATCTGATTTACTTCCATCTGTATATATCACAAATTCCTGGGCAGGAATATCATTTATGATTTCAAGATCCATTTGTCTGAGCAGTTTTAGGTGATAGTTGCTGTTGACAATATTAGTTGACAATTCCTCACAGATGTTAACATGATTAAATGAAGTATCTGGAGCATGACGGCTAAAAGCTATAAATGTAATAAAAGATGATGCTGTATTGTTGAAACATCTTCTTTTATTATTGGTTTGAAAAGAAAGTTGATAGATAGCTAATGGGTAGATTTTTTCCTTTATTAAATTTAAAATTAATTTTGATTAGGTTTTAGAAAAATCATATCAAATCCATACTGTTAAAATTGTCTTAAGAAGTATTTTGTAAATTTTTAATTATTTCAGTTTTAAAAAATAACTTCCCCTGTTGTATGATTTAAAAATTTTATATCTAGTTAATTTGTTATAAATAGTTTATCAATGTATGGTTTCCTTGCTACATTTGTAAGCTAGGTTTCTTAAGCTTAAACATAATGTATTGAACAGTTGGAATAATTAATTTTTGTACTGAATTACATTTGATTTCCATAGACTACTCCAATTCCATGGAAGGCACTTTTGACCTCCATTCCAGTATGGACGCTTATGATTACACATTTTGGTCAAAATTGGGGGTTTTATACATTTTTAACTGAACTTCCTACTTATTTAAGTACTATTCTGCATTTCAACATAACCAGTGTAAGTATAATTTTTCTTAGAATATTGACTGCAGACTTTTTTCTGTGCATTAAATATATCTAAATATAGTAATGAAGAATGAGTTTTTCATATAATTGAGAAGTTATGTTCTTTGTATAATTTTGAAATTTTGAAAGGTTGATTATGTTTGAAGAGATTGTTTTTCATGACTGCTTACAAAGGTGCAGTAACTTAAAAAATGTGGAAAAAAAAAACCTTTTTTTTTTTTTTTTTTTTTTTTTTTAACAGAAAGGTATTTTATGGTCTTAAAGAAGAGTTGTATAATTCTGAACTTATTAAATGTAATCTCACTTTGTTATTCATGATTCTTGCTAAGTTTGCAATATTTATTTGATGCTATCCCTTGCATTAAAAGTAGTAATTTTTTTAATAACTTCTAGAATAATTTTAGTTATTAATGATGTTTTTTCATCGGTACTACATTTTTTGGGATTATTAGTATTATTTTGTGTCTTTATTTAAATACTACCTTACATCTAGTTTGAATTCCTTTGATATAAATTGACATTTTTTAAATAGAAATAAGAAGTGTACATTTTAAAATATATTTCAATATTTTATCGTTTGGCAATACGTTGAATTTTGTATTTTTATTATGTAAACCTATGTAATTATTATTTACTGATTTTTATGGTAAACAATTATGATATTAAAAAAAAGTTCTGATGCCTTGATATTTTCTTTATTAAAATTCCATGGTAATTTGAAGTTAATTCCTTGTACTGAATCGTGTATTGTTCCTAATTTTGAATATAATATTAAGTTTGTCTTGAAATTGCAGATTATTAGTGAATGCTTTGTTTTAAGAGAGTAGTAATTTTATCACACAACTGAAAAATTTTCTGGAAATGCACACACACATGTAGGATGACAGGGCGATTCAAAAGCCCTTTTAGGCCCACCAGCGGCCGAGCGGTAAAGTCGCTGAACACTGGTAGTTCGGTCCGAGGTTTGAATCCCGTGAACGGGCTGGCTGCATGGGCGTTTTCGTGGTTTTCCCCATGTGTAACGTGTATATGAGGCAGTTTCCCTTAGAAAGACCTCCACGAAGGCATCCCTCCTCTTAGGCAGATAGCCCTCGAGGCTTTGCCATAATCTCTCTCTCTCACACACACACACACAAAAGCCCTTTTAGAAACTTCAAGAAGATCAGGCATACAGAAACAAGTCATTTTTACAAGGAAACCAAAAAAATTCTTGTTGTTTTGGACAGTCAGAAAGAAAAAGTCATAGAACAAATAATAATCACCACTAATCCTCAAAGTAATCACCATCGGCATCCAGTGCCTCTTGACAACGAGTGGCTAGCTGTGTGATGCCATAGCTGTAAAACTCAGGAGTCTTAGATGCAAAGAAGTCTGTGATGGCCTTTTGGAGGTCTGGCCAGTTGTTGAAGAATATCCTACGAAGATGGTTGGTTGTCCAGGAAATGGAAAAGGTGGTAGTCTGTTGGCCAGTCGCTGGATGGTGTCCCTGGCCCCCGAACCACATGCAGTCTCGCATTATCATTGGAAGAGGAGTACACCCTTACGATTGACCAATGTCTCTTTATGCATCAGTGCCTGACACATACATTCCAAGTGCTGCGAGTACAGGCCTGCTGTGATAGTTTGGCCCACTGGCAGAAGCTCATAGTGCCCCACTTGGTGACTAGGCCACCAGATACAGAGCATGATCTTGTGTGGGTGGATAGAAGGTCTCGCAGTGTGAGGCACAGGGTTCCGTTGTGCCAAATAATGTCTTGAATACCTGGCTGTGTCATTTTTCATCGCTGATGAGTACTCTATCAAATATGGATGCACTGTGGTGCCGAGTAAGCAATGAAAAACAGGCAGAGACATGCTGCTGCTTGTTTGCATCAGACAGTGAAAAAGTACCCACTTGCTCAGCTTGTATGCCTTTCCTATGCAAATGATCACAACCGGGTAGCTAATTTTTATTTTATTGTGATTGTACACTGCTCAAAAAAAAAAAAAAAAAAAGAGGACAGTTTTATATCTTTTTGTTTTACTGGGCCGATTGACACAATTCAAATTGCGTTTTTCATGTTAAGTTTGACTTGGGCTATATATTAAATTTATATATAGCACTATTCTAACATGGGTATTTTGACACAAAAATCAGACTTTTTCTGAAATAACATACCAATTTTTTTACATATTTCGATTCCACTACTCAAATTATGCCAGAATGCTAAGTTTTGTAAAAATCGTACAAGTAGTTTTAAAATATTAGCTCTCAAAATTTTACCTCCTCAATGTTAATTGAATTTGGCAAATATTTATTAATATCTCCTTTTATATTAAACTTTTTTTATTTTTCTTTTCACATTTCGAAATTAAGGTTCATTCCAAATAAAATTTACCCATTTTTTATGTTTTATTTTTTAAATTTCTATTTTTAAGTAATTTTTATAAATTTTTCGAAAAAAATTTGAATTGTAACCTATAAAATTTTTACTATCATCTTAAAGTAGGTATATTTCTAAGCATACCTGCAAAAAAATTAGACCTTTTTATTCAAAATATTCTAAGCTATACACAAATTTACATATTTTCGCATTTTGAACCTTGAAGATAAGGATAGTGCTGACAGATCAACTTCCAGTTCTTGCACGCCGCGTCTTCCCCCCCCCTTGCAGAGCAGCGTGAAATTGATAAACATATTTCGGAATGGTTAGAGAATCAAAGGATATGCCTTTATCCATTTTTTGCAGCAATTCCACTTTTTGTTTGATGGTCATCGAAACATGCTTTCGCTTTGTAGAATCTTTGGCAGCTTCAGAATCGGAAATTCTTTTTGACATAATCTAAAGTTCAAGTTTACTTTTATAAAATTGCTCTAACAGTCTGCAAAAAAATAATAAGCTGGATCCAGTTAGAAGATTAAAGAACAACGCAATCTGCAACATTAACTGAAATAGATAATTAGATAATTTTAGCTTAGCTTATACCGTCCGTTGTACATTAAACGCACATGTGTAAACATAATATGTGCATGCGTAAAGGTATTATGCGCATGTGTTGATGCATGCGCAGAAAGTTTGTAGCTTTGAGGTCCATTCCATATTATAGATCATTCCGGATTATGGACGTCCGGATTAACGACTTTTGACTGTATTTCGATAATCCAATAAATTTGAGGTCGAAGTTTCAATATTTTATTTTAGGAGGGAGGGGAAATTTTTTCAGTTTTGGTCCATTATCCTAAGTATATTTACTTTGATTCTTTATTTTTTCCATAAAAGCAAAAATTTTACGCATGCTATACATCTAACGCATAGCTTCAAATTAAAATTTAATAATATACAGGATTGTTATAATTAAAGTTCCACTTTGAAATGGTCGTAAAAGGAAAACTACTGGATCAAGTGTTATCAAACTTGGTAACCGTGTAAAGGAGGTCATGGAAATTTATTTTCCGCAAAAAAAAGAAAGTTCAAAACCTCACCACCAGGGAAAAATGGTGCTGTATGCAATATCGTTAAAAAAATATGGGTTGGAATCTAACTTAACCTTTTGTTACATGGGTTTAATATGTTGTACAGTCAAAAGTCATTAATTTGGACACCCATAATCCGGAATGATCTATAATCCGGACCTCGAAGCTAAAAACTTTCTGCGCACAGGCGTTTTACTCGTGCGCGTAAGACCTTGACTACTGCGCATATGCGTGTGCGCAAGTGCGGAATACGTTTTCGCCTGCGCATTTAATGTTAACGGACGGTGTAAGCTAAAATTATCTAATTATCTATTTCAGTTAATGTTAATGATTGCGTTGTGCCTTAATCTTCGAATTGGATCACGCTTATTATTTTTTGCAGACCTTAAGAGCAATTTTATAAAAGTAAACTTGAACTTTCGATTATGTCAAATAGAATTTCCGATGCTGGAACTTCCAAAGGATCTACAAAACGAAAGTATGTTTCGATGTCCAACAAACAAAAAGTGGAATTGCTGCAAAAAATGGATAAAGACATGAAGAATGTGACAGAGAGGTTAGTGAAAACGAAAAAATTTCAATTGACAAGTTAGTCGGTATTCTCGGCACAGCAATTAACGGGGACTTGAACAGCGGAACTTTGTAACTGAACAAGAAATTGTCTTTTTATAGAATTAAAGAATTAAAGAGAAAGTATTATCACATAAAATGAAGCAACTTAAACAACTTACATTGAGAGAAATGTTTAATAAAGTAAACAAATAAATATTAAGCTTTTTTTTTTTTTTTTTTTTTTTTTTTTGTAAATTTTGATACCCTTTAGATCATAATTGTTCTTTATTTCATAAATTACGGTTTCATATTTTTAATTTTAGAATTTCTGCATGCCATCTTACAATATTTAAACTGATGATCTATAATCCGGAAAAATCGATAATTCGGAATCGCCGAAGTCCCGACGAGTCCGGATTAACGACTTTTGACTGTATACCCTTAAGAAACTTTGAAGTAAGCAAATTATCATTTAAAGGCGTTAAAGTCGATAAAAGTTAAGTGCGCCATCCGTGTAAGGGAGAAATTTGTTGGGGAAAACCACGAATTAGCGATTAGAAAATGCGAGATCGCAAATCACTCGCACAAGTGCCTACAATCTGGAAATCGTTTTCTTACAGATCGCTAATTTGTAATTTTTGAAGCCTGAATTCGGCCCTAAAACATGAAGATACCGATTCAAAATGCTTTTAATCGATTTGGGCAAAGAAATCCCTCATGTTATATACCTAGTTTCATTGCATTCTCCTACCGCATTCAATTGCATAGCGGTCATTCCACGCCGTTTGGAGTAAAATGACAGCTAGTTTCATAACTGAACCATTTTTCTCTGAATAGCAGTCGACAGCTGGACTACTGTGATTGCAGCTCGCTTAGAGTCAATGTTAAAATGTTGCATGATACATGAACTGCAGTAATGTGGCATTTTAGATACTAGGATTTTTATGCAGGGCTGGGCCCCACCTCACATGTGTCGCACAGTTATT